CGGAAAGCGTCTCTCCGGGTCCTGCAAGATTCTACTCGTCCCTTCATCAATTGGAGAGTTCACCCCTGATACGATCTCACCTCGGCGTTCCATCGGGGCAGAGAAGGGAGAGAAGGGGGGATGGTGAAGGCAGAAAGATGAGAGGGAGAGCTCTAAGACGATGCTTCAGACGGCAAGGAGTGCGGATGCTTTCACGGGCAGATCATTCTCGTGATGAGAAAGGAGACTCGTTGCAATCTCCCTCAGTTTTGACTGCCGTCATTCGCTATCGCTGTCATGTCGTGAGAGTTCGATGGAGAGTTTTCAGATGGCGTTGAGTTGTACAATTCGATATCTTGATCTTTTATTCTAAACCTGGCAAACCCGATTGCGAATCTGCTGTGGCTTGCAGCTTGTTCTGATGCTATTCAGACTTTCGCAGGGAATGTGCATGGAGGGTTGAGCCATTTGTTACTAGTCGAGAGCGAAAGAGATCGACAAACAAGACTTGGTGTCATTGGCAACTGAAGAAGCTGTTGCTATTGTTAGCAGCTGAAGAAGCTGTTGCTATTGTTAACAGCTCATGAAGCTGTTGCTTCAACTACAAGTCCGATGATGATCCCTTGGAGGAACAAGCACAGGATGGATGGAATGACTCAGACGGCTGTGGGGAAGAGATTTCATCCCCAACTGACAACAAACAACAAAACATCACATTCTACAGACTCTACACTTGAGCTCCGGGCAGCTCCCTACTCATCTTTCTCATCTCCTCCACAATATTTCCATCCTGTTGCTCACGTCAATGCTTGTTCCCTCCCTCATCCTCCTCACCTTTAGCTTCTTTGCCATGTCCATCGGCGTCAGGCCATCCACGTTGACTATCGAGCAAGATGCCCCATGCTCGAGGAGGAGCCTCACAACTTCGCTCCTCCTATTCAGCACCGCAAGATGGAGTGCTGAATTCTTCTCGAGTGACGTAGCGACGTTGACATCGATCCCCTCGCAGAGGAGAATCTGGCAGACGGGTCAGCAGAGGTTGAAGGTGAAGGCAGGGCGAAGGAGAGGAGAGGGGAGTAAGGAGCGGAGCAAGGATGAGAAGGCAGAGTAAGGAAGAGGACAGGGAAGGACTTCGGTCACCTTACACGTCGACGCTTTCCCTTCCTGTGCAGCACAGTGGAGGCAAGTTAGGCCAGTCTTTGATCTTACAGTGACATCTCCTCCAGCCTTCAGGAGCAGCCGAAGAATCTCGTCCTTTCTGCAAAGCCTCCATTAGCAGCTTCCTCCTCCCCATTGTCCTCCTCTCCTCTCACGCCTACTCCTCTCGTCCCCCACTCCGCTCTTCTTCTCCTCCTTCTTCTCTCTGCCTCTGTCTCTGTCTCTCTTGGTGCCTCTCCTCCTCTCTGTCGTTTCGTTCATCCCTTCCTCCCTCCCCCCCCCCCCTTCTCTTGCCCTCTCCTCCTTCCTCTGCTTCTCTTACCCTTCCAATGAAGCCACTTGCAGAGCTGTGAGACCGGTCGAGCTCAGCACATTCGGGTCAGCGTGAGCCCGCAGGGCATCCTCCACCCTCCTCGCGTCTCCTTGCTTGACAGCCTGGCACGTCCAGTTGCTCTCTGCGCTGCTCCTCGGCAAACGTGTCAAGACAGGGAATTGAGCGTCCGCGTCCTCCAGCTGACGCTCAGCTGGCAGCTCCGCGTTCTCCTGCTGGCCTGTTCTATCTTGCGAGGAGAGTTGCTCGGCGAGGCCGACGTCTGCTGTCTCTTCGTCCCTTCCCCTGCGCGGCATGCTGTCATCCTCGTCCACCAACCTTTCCAAGCTCTCTCCCATCACGATCTCGAGGATCCGGTCTGACATCCTCTCTCTTGAAGCGCTGCTCTTGCCGTCCTCTCCGCTGGACCACGACTCGTCAGACTCGTCCTCTTCGGAGCTAGCGGAGCACTCGGACGAGTTCAGCGAGGATCCCGAGTCCTCCTCGACAACCAGAGGCTCTTCGACATCGCAGGAGGCCAGGCTATCCTCCAGCAAGCTTCTCTGCCGCAGGTGACTCAGGTCCGTCTCATCAATGATAACTTCCTCCAAGTTTGACTCTTCCGATGTGCTCGGGATCGCGACAATGTCTCCATGCAAGATGCTCACTCTCCACCGCGATTGACGTTGGGGAGGAGGAAGGTCCTGATGCACCGTCTCTTCTTCGTCATCCTCCCTTTCATCGTCTGACTGGTCCCCTCGAGAATCGGAATGTTCTGAGGCTGAGAGATCTGACCCCTGTGGGCTTTGCCTTGAGCGAACTCGATCTCTTCCTCTCCTTCGATGCTTTCCTCCTGTACTGCCAGCATCCTCTGGCTCCACGACCTCTATCGACTTCTCTCCACTACAAGCTGGAGCGACTCGCATGTACTCTGGAAGGGGAAGCATGAGCAACTTGCAGATCAAGTCACGGGGAAGCAAGGACATCTCATCTGGCGAGTTCAAGTTTGCCTTGATACGCCTCTGCAAGTCTACAGGAATTCCCAGCCTCTTGTGTTGTTTTCCCCTAACATATTCAACGAAAGCAAACGACCCGTCCTCATGCTCCAACCCGAAGCCGTGCTGCTCGTTCTTAGACCAGCTGCCGACATAGAATTTCCCCGAGTTGGACCATAGCAAGCCGATCCCTTCTTTCATGTCCATTCGAAACTCTCCTTCGTACCTCTTCCCACTCGGCCAACACATAATGCCAACACCATGTCGAAAGCCTCGATGCTCCTCCCCTACATACTCGTGCCCGCTGTTCCAGACGCGTCGACCAAGTCCATCGCTCTTTCCTTGCAGAAATTCACCTTGGAACCATTGGCCATCTGGCCAAGACATTCTTCCATAGCCGTGTGCAACACCATCAAGAAACGATCCTTCGTACATGTGGCCATCTACAGTCACGATCGTCCTCTTCTTGTGCACATTCTCGCCATTGCCTTTCAGATTAAAAAAGGAAGCTGCTGTTTCTCCCCTGCTGCCGGGGAGGCTCTGCACGAGCTTGTTCAGGTCGGTGATAGCAGAACTCTTGATGGAGGAGACTGTCGCTTGCAAGCTGGCCTTGAGAGGGGAGATGATGTCAGTCCATGAATCAGGGGACGAAGCATGCGAAGGGGTTTGAGGGGAGGACTTGGGCCCAGAGACTGACCCACATTCACTCATGTCCTGAGCTGCATTATCCTCTCGCTTTCCTATCGTTGAGTTCTTGTCCTTGGAGATGAGGAGGCTGAGGCCTTTCAATGCTGTTGAGCCCCACGTCTCTTGTGGCTGCTGCGAGCCTTCAACATCCTTTTGCGCCTTGTTTGTATCGGAGTCTGGGAAAGAAAACGAGTTCAAGGAAGCTTGATTATCTATGACTTGCAAGTTGTTCCAGAGATTTCTACCAATGGCATACCCATGTCTCAACATCGCGTTGGCCTTCATTGCAAAAATCAAAAGATCGTCATCATCGCTCAACTCCTCATCCCTGGCTTTCGCTTCTGGACCTTGTGATTTCTGCAGGCCACAAAAGCGGGCAAGGTTGGAGTGATCGTCTCCACTGAATCGAACCGATGCGCGCACTGCAAGCCATCGCCACCGATGTCCCGTGCTAATATTCAGATTCCTCCGAATCCTCCTGCCTAGCCTTTCCGGTTCAGTCACCTTGTCAGGGCTGGCCTGTCCCTGACTGAAGAGGGGATGCTGCATGCGCGGGCTTCGAGGACTTCCACTCGAACCTTGAAGTCGATGTCAGAAGAGGCGTGCATCCGAAGGACATCAAACCCGTTGCTGTGTCGGACGAGAACTGATCCGGATCATCGACCAGGCGAGTCTGCAGGCTGCAAAGAGCAGTTTACATGAGACAACCAGACGGCCAACAACTCATACCTGATGTTACAGAAGTTTGAGACAGGTCCGCGTGGTATGTCCATCGCAGTGATGCCATTCAGCTCTGGGGAGCTGGCGTTGGAACGCACAGAACCCGGTCTTGAGCATGGGGGGCTTGGAGGCGGACCAAACAAAGGTAAAGCTGAAGGAACGGAAATGAGGCACAGATCATGAAGACTTGATAGAATTTTCACCAGCTGCGGTTGAATTGCAGTGATTTCCTTTGACTTCAACCCTGGCGGCGGATTCCATCTCACCACCAGAAACTGTGTTTGTAGCCTTGATGACCATGTGAAGTTTAAAGAGCGACGCTCATGCTGCACAATGACCTTTTGTTGATCCTACATCGAGATTAGCCTCAGTTACAACCTCGTTCTCTCTTTCACAATAGAAGGAGGTAGAAAGATGCGCCATAGTGGGTTTTCGATCGAGTGACACAACAAACAAGCTATGGCTCATAACGGTCAAGAACAGAGCAGAACAAGCAGTGTTATCTTCATGGTTTCTTCGTAACGAAAGATTACAACAATATCGGGTAGCACTTTCATCCATTGTTCTCCTTGCCCTCCATTCCCTCCCTCTCCTTCGCTGCTTCCCCGCCCATTTCTCACTTTGTAGTTCCGTGTTCGTCTACCCTACCCAACTTGTATTGTACCCCACCCCCCTTTTCATCATACTCTCTCCGTACCCCTATTTATTCACTATGAATCACCGGTGCTTTACAATTTTACACTAGTGACATGTACCCGACAATACCACCCACCCCTCCCTTCTAACGACCCTCGGCCTCGTCCATAACAAAACTCTGTTCCACCCCTCCAATCTGAGTACCCCACCCCCTCGAAGTTCGACCAAGTTATTTACACCCCTCCATCCCTGCGCTACACCAGAGGATTGACAGCAGCACATATACCCCCCCACCCTACCCCTGTTCTGTTCAGTACCCCTATGGTGTCAAATCCACTTCACCCACAGCGTAGCTCATTGAATATGCCATCCTCTTGAAACCACCCCCTCTGAGGAATATTCTGCGGAGTACCCCTACCTACTACTTTTCGTGTATATACCCTACCTTTTCAGTCCATCAAGAACTGCATGTCACTTCACACCCCTCTATATACATGACGATGGCCCTTCTACCGTAGGGACAACGAGTACCCCCTCCCACCACCCCTCCCCCTCAGATAAAAACCGGTGTGATAAGCGGAAATCACCCCCACCCACCCCCATCAGCTCAAATTCCCACCACCCTAGTTCAGCCTCCCTGCAGCGGCTTGCCCAACTCGTTACGAGGACCCACCCCACTTGGTAAAAGTTCATGCCGATCCCTTCAAATCCTCTTCAATTCTGGGATAGTAGGAGGGTTGATCACCCACCCTTTCATTCACCACCCCTACACCCAAGCTGTGTCCAAAGTTAAAGTTAACTAATTTTGACAGTAGTGACTCGTTCGTGTGACTTGACTTCAGTCAACTCTGGCCGGGCCGGGCACCGCTGAGTATCTTTTTGAACGCCGCACAGTGACCGCTGAGTCTGCCGGCGGCGGGCCGGCGCCGCGTACAAGCCGGCGGCCGCAGTACCGCCCGGGCTCGGCCGATTACAAGGTTATCATACTACCGGAGTCCGGCACTGAAACTTACACCACTGTACGGTCACTGCACCCCGGGCCCGGGGACCGCCCCGGCCCCCGGCCGGCGGCGCCGTGCCGCCGCCGGGCCCCCGGGAGGGCGCCGCCGCTGAACTCGGACTCCGTTGAACGCCGCCGCCGCAAAGAACTTGAATTCCCGGCCGCTTGTTTGCCAGTCAGGCTCGACTCGCCGCGAGGCTCCCGGCGGGCGCCGACCGCCGAGTCCGATCGGACTGGGCAAGTTCATTTGACAGTGAAATGAACTTCCGAACCAGGCCCCGCCCGGCCCACGGTGAGCCGGACAGGTCACTGCACTGCAAGGCGGCACACGCGGCTGCCCGGCGGGGTGTCGGGCCCGGGCCACCGCCGCGCGGCCGTCCGTCCCCCATCGCCGCCGCCGTCGGATCCCGGCCCGGGCCCGGGCGCCGGCCGGCGCGGGGCCCGGGCCGCGGCGGTGTGCGCCCGGCCAGGCTGGCGGCGCGTGGGAGGGGCGGCGCCCGGGCCCCGCCGCGAAAGCCCCCCAAGTTTACTACACACAAGCGGGTCAGCACGGAAGGTTCCTAGGACAAGACTAGGAACCTTTTTAGGACCAGAAAAGTCACTTCCTAGGACCCAGTGCGACTGCTGAGGCTTGGAAATGGCTACCGTATTTGTATGTCTGCTAGACCAGGGTGCTAGGAGCTTCATCTGGTCTTAGTGCGGATTTGTAAGTCCTAGGATATTCGTAAGAGGTCCTAGACCGTCTAAGGCCCCAGGTCCAGTCTAGTCACCCAGTGAGGACAATTTGTGAGGGTCATAAAGGGGGGGTAAACAAAAGTTTTTGATTCTCATAACGGGTCCTGTGGAAGGGAAACACAGGGGTATATGGCATAAGAATGGAGTTGGGCGATGTACCGTGAGTGGTAGGGTAGTGTCTTGAGGGGTGGAGGGTTGCCTGTGTCCGGGGGTGGGGTCCTCACCGGATAAAACGTGCCAATTTTATCAGCCGATTTGTGAAGGGACTTGAAACTGAGGGGTGGGGTACATTAAGTAGGGGTTATTTTCAAGTCAAAGTGAGGGGTACAGAGTCTGGAAGTGATGCGGTGGGGGCAATGGAAGGGGTGGTCATTCCGAGGTACTGGTGGACAGTGGTCACCAGTGCAGGTCGTGGTGGACCAGTCAAGATGGCGATGCTGGAACGAAGAAAGTCGACGGAGGCGGTGAGGAAGAAGACCGAGTTGAAGAGAGCAGAGGGATAAGTCAGGCTCGTTAGTCCGCACTGGGATAAGTCAGCTGACATGGGCTGGGAGATGACAGAGAAGCAGATTGAGAGAGCCTGAGACGATAATGAAGCAGAAGAGTGCGAAAGGAAGAGTTATGGGCGAAATAGTTTGACGGTACTTCATCTCTTATCCTGTCGTTTCCTGCAGCTCTTGTTGGAGAGGCTTGACCTTATGGAATTCGAGCTCAACGACACCTTTCAAATCCTGGGAGATACTCTGTCCAAGGCCAAAAAGTGAACTTACATTTCACCCAAACAAACGGCTAGACTAACTGCTCTTGTCAACAGCGTTTTGAATGCTGCGGGTGAATCGTTGGCAAAGTGGTTTGCGAATCTCTCTCCGCACGAGGTTTGTGCAAGATCGTTTCATTGTCGACTCGTTCATTCGTTCTGCTAGTTGAACATCAGCATTGAAAAAGCGTTTCGAAGATTTGACGAGGATGCGAGCGGGACTTTGCAAAGGTCAGCACTCTCCGCCTCAGTGTTGTCCTCCTCGCCTGCTCTACATTCCCACTCTTCTCTGTCGCAGCGCTGCTGATTTTGTCTTCCCTCCTTGGCACTGCTACGTATGTTTGTCTCTTTCTTACCCTCTGCTCTCTCGCCTTGGTCCTTCTCTCTCTCCTCCTTTGACGGCTGATCGCTTCGATTCAGGTCTGAGATCCAGAAAGCTTTTGCGATGATGGGGAAGAGGTTTACGGATGAAGATTTGGACATTGTTTTGAAGGAGTACGATGCGAACGGAGATGGCTGTATTGACCTGGTGAGAACAGCTTTCTTGGACGCTCCCGCCTTTGTAGCTCTTTCCCGCGCCCGTGCTTTCCAGTCTTGCAGGACAATCACAATTGTGATGATGATGAGAATGAGGACTATGTCGGTGTATGTGTTTTGTTCTGGCAGATAGCTGTGGACCTCAGCAACTCATCTGCAATGCAGGAGGAGTTTTCACACATGGTCAAGTTGCAACTCAAAGTTCCCTGTTTCACGGGTTGCAGTCCTTGCACTATTTGCACAAACAATCAGGTTATTCCCTACTGTTTCCCAAGATCTCCTCATCCCTTGTTTTCCTCCTCCTCCCTCTCTTCCCCCGCTCACTCCCCCATCGCTCAACCCCTTGCTCGCTCCATCCTTTCTTTGCGCTCGTTGTTCTGGACACCCAAACCTTCTCGCCCTTTGTGGCTCAATTCCTTCCTTTCCATTGTTCCCTTTCCTCTGGTCTCTGACGCCCTGGTGCGCAGGAGGAGTGCTACGTCGACTCTGTGCATGAGCAGAAGGAAAAGAAGCGGTTGGAGCTACAGGCCACGTTTGACAAGGTCATGGAAGACGCAGCTTTGTCCATGGGCGAGCTGCTCGCCCCTATCCCCATCTTCTCGTGGCTGCAGACGGAGGACCGAGAGAGGCTGGGGAGCGAGTCCAGGCTGCTGCACTTCTGCGAGGGGGAGGAGGTGGTGAGAGCAGGGGAGGAGTCGGTGTCTATGTTCGTGGTGGTGCAAGGGGAGGTAGCGGTGTTGGTAGGAGGGAACCAGGTCTTTTCTTTCCTCCCGGGGCACTTCTTTGGCGAGACGGGGCTGATCAAGAACGAGAAGAGGAACGCAACAATCGTTGCCTCCTCCCCCTCCTCCTGCCTGGAGATCAGCCGGGACACCTTCCGAAGGTTCCTGCAGGGCAGGTTGCACTCCCAGCACCTCCACGCGGAGCTGAAGCGCAGGAAGGCAGGGAAGGTGGACAGGTCGCAGTCATGCGAGGAGATCCTGCAGGAGCTGGTCAAACTGGCCCAGCAGAGGAAGAGAATGTTTGAAAGCAGCCAGATGACAAGGACTAAGTCAACCTCCTCCACCTCCTCCGCTTCCTCCACCTCTTCCTTGTCCCGACGGCCTTCAAGGGGGACAAGGAGGTCCCTCGATTCCGGCAAGGACCATGCAGCGACGGAGATGCATCGATCGTTCTCCGTGCCCTCTGCCTTGCAGGATGAGAAGAAGGATGTTAGGAAGGAGGCGTTTGTGCGCTCCATTCTGACGAGAGCGGCGAGCTCCAGCCGGGACTTCGAGGAGGAGGAGGAGGAGGAGCAGCTGCAACGAACAGTCTCGTCACCCGTTGCTTCGAGTAAGGACCTTACAAGGGAGCCGTACAGAGCGATGAGGAGGAGGAACACGTCGATGGCTCCTCTACAGGAACCTGTCGCCGTTGTGTCATCCAAAAGGCAACTTCCCCTGCTCAAGAAGAAGGATCCGACTCCTCTTCCTCCTCCCCCCCATCCTGCTCCTTCGCATGATCCTGTTGGCCCTCTCCCTGTGACCGACACGGCTACCCCCCCTGCAGATGCTCCTCCTCCTGATGCCGGCGCCCTGCCGCCCCAAGGCGCCTCCCCCCGTCCTCTCGAAGAGGGTCCTGGGCCGCACAAGGATCAGCTGTACCCGACGAGACTGAGCAAGTGCCTGCCCATGAGCGGCGGGACGGGAACAACATAGCCAGCAGGAGAACAACGCTGCGTAGCGATGAGTGCGAGGACGAAGTCTCATGCTGCTGCGAGGAGGAGGAGGCGATTGAGGACGGGCAGGAGGCGGAGAGCTCGATCGGGATGCCCAGCAGGTGTTCCACCTGCTCCCTGGAGGAGATGCCGGACTGCATCAGCAGGACTCACTCAGCTGAGGACGAGAACGGCGCCGTGAGGAGGGAGGAGGAGATGAGAGGGGAAGGCTTCCAGGCTCTTTCTCATCGTCCCTTCACCGCTGAGCCGACAAAGATGGGGACGCCGTTCAGGAAGGAGTGGCGGAGGGCGTCGGCGGAGGAGGGGAGGGCGGTGGTGGACCCTCTGATGGAAGTGAAGGTGAGGCTCGTGCACGGGAGGGAGGCGGGAGACGCGAGGGAGCAGGAGAGGAGGGAGCGGGTGGGGAGGACGGTGAGCGCAAGCTACAAGTCGGATGTGAGGAGGAGCAGCAACGAGCAAGTCGCGCTGTTCAATATCAGGAGGCTGAGCTCTGCTGGCTCCAACCTCATCTTCTTCGAGCAGAAGGTTTCAAGGGCACGGTCTACCGTGGGGAGCAGGAGAAGGGCGAGCGGGCCGTCGGAGATCGAGCGCGAGAGGAGGAGGAGCGAGGAGGAGCTGAAGGAGACGCTGCTTCACGGAACAGCCTCGTCCTCTCGGATCTCCATCATCAACTTGAGAGGAAGCATGAGAAAGCTGAAGAGCGACAAGCTGCCACAGCTTTGAAGTGCAGAGGAGGGGGAGGAGGAAGCGGAGAGAGGAGTGGGGGAAGGAGGAGACTTGGAGGAGAACGGAGAGTTCATCTTAGTAACACATTTGTAAAGTTTTGTAATGAAAGAAATCTACATCTTCTATATCCTCGTCCTCTTTCAGTCTTCCACCACAGTCCTGCGCAAGAGAAATCAGTCATGTAATGTTGACACAAAGTGGTCTCATACCTCAGTGAAGCATCTCTCCTTGCTCTAGCACTCTCAGTTATCTTCTCCGAAAGATCTGGAATGACGTCAAACCTTCTTCTTCTTCTTCTTCCTCATCTTCGTCATCATCATCATCTCCATCACCACCACCCTTTTTATCGTTGTCATCATCTAGTTACCGTCATCGAGCATGGAAGACAACTCAATATCAAGCTTCAAGCTGCTTTCGTAGGTGTCAAGAATGGAGGTTGAGAAAATCTGAAACAAAATTAACAACATGACAGATTATCTCGCCTCCATCCACTCCTCCCTGCTCCTCTCCTCCTCTCCTCCTCTCCTCCTCTCCTCCTCTCCTCCTCTCCTCCTCTCCTTCTCTCCTGCTCTCCTGCTCTCCTGCTCTCCTGCTCTCCTGCTCTCCTGCTCTCCTCCTCCCTCCCCTCTTCTCTCCAAAACTTATTCCTCTCCCCTCGCACAACCTCAAGGTGGTATTTCGCAAGGGCCAGGATTGAGTTTCTGACTCTGCACAAACATTTCCTGCAAGTCTGTGAGCCAATTGCGGAGGAAAAGAACGAAGGAGAGAGGAGGGAGGAGAATGAGATAGAGAGGAGGGAGAGAGCGAATGAGGGAGGAGGAAGGAGAGCAAGCGAGGGAGGAGGGAGGAGAACGAGGTAGGGAGGGAGGATGAGAGCGAGGTACAGAGGAGGAAGGAGAGGGAGGGAGGTAGAGAGGAGGAAGGAGAGGGAGGGAGGTAGAGAGGAGGGAGGAGAGCGAGGTACAGAGGAGGAAGGAGAGGGAGGGAGGTAGAGAGGAGGGAGGAGAGCGAGGGAGGGAGGAGCAGGATCGAGAAGCAGGAGGGACATACATATCTTCCTCGCTCGCTGGCCGCCCTCCTCCCAACTTCTCCAGCTCGTCCATGTCACCCGCCTCCCCGGCCTCAGGAGGGAGCACATGCGTGATCCAGATGTATCCGTTGCTGTGAGCGGCAACTTCAGACCTTGACGCAGCAGGCTAGAGGGACCTAGCGATGATGAGGAACACTTGCAGTTCTCCAAGTTGTTGGAAGTGCTGGCAAGACAACACATGAGGAGGAGCGCGGGGAGGATGGAAGGGGGAGGAAGGAAAAGAGAAGGGTAGTACTTGTTTGGCTCTCCGAATCAAGTATGCTGGGACCTGTGGAAGAATCAGCAACTTCCATACAATATTGCTCCTCCTCCTCCTCCTCCTCCTCCTCGTCTTCTCCTCTTCCTCGTCTTCGTCCTCCTCCTCGTCGTCCTCCTCGTCCTCCTCGTCCTCGTCCTCGTCCTCCTCGTCCTCCTCGTCCTCCTCCTCCTCATCATCATCATCATCATCATCATCATCACTAACACCACTACTTCCTCCTCCACCTCCACCACCACCCGGTCTTGTCTGCTCTTCACTGGTGATTTACCTCTATCAACATTCCATTCTGCAGTTTTCCATATTTGGATGACCTTGTGTGAACGGAGATCGAACCATCTTGAAAGAACTGAAACATCAAACAATCAGCGAACCTCACTTCAAGTTGCCCCATCCCATCTCCGCATCCAGTTCCTCCCCTCCGCTTCCTCCTCTATGCGTCCCCTCAACCCCCACCCCCTGCTCTCCTTAACTTCGTCTCTGATCCCTCCGTCCTGACCTGACCTGACCTGACCTGTCCTGTCCTGTCCTGTCCTCTCCTGTCCTCTCCTGTCCTGTCCATACCTGGTGAATCTCCGCGCTTACAAGATCGCCCTCCACAAACAACGTTCGCATGTTCAGCTGATCCTCGTACGTTCTCCTCCTGTGCTCTCCCTCCGGCAGGTTCACCGACGACAACATCAACACTGCCGACTGCAAAGGAAAGAGAAAGGAAGGAAAAAATGATTTTCAGAAAGTTTGAAGCAGCAAAGGAGAATAAACTACTTGAAGGAGAAAACAACAACAACCTTCCTTCTCACCGCCCCCCTCCCCTACTTCCCCTCCCTTCCCTTCCTGTTCCCTCTCCCACCTTCCCCTTATCTCCCCCCTCCCTCCTCCCCCTCTTCCACCTTCCTCCTCCCCCTTCCACGTCCTCCTCGCTCCTTTCCCCTCCTCTCACAAACCTGAGCAGCTCCAATGTCAAGGTTCCAACGCTTCTGTCCGACCTCAACGACTCGTCCCACCACGACATCTCCCACTTGTCCTCCATATCGGCTCTTCAGTGGCACTACCGACACCAGCTTGTTCACCCTCTGGACTATCCCCGCCACCGACGCTATGAGCTTGCCCTTCCACACATACGTCCCATGCCCCCGCAGGAACCCTGCACTCCAGTCATCTCCCGCTGCCTTGCTTCTCATCTATCTACGCTCAACGATCTCCTCCACTACCCTGCCCTCCCTCCCTCCCTCCCTCCCTCCCTCCCTCCCTCCCCTCAGCGCTAGATGTGTCCTTTCATGTTTACCCTACCATGACCATCGACCTCAATCACATGTTTGCTCTCTGATTTGATTTTTCTTTCTTCCTGCCCTTGCTCCCTTTGTCCTAGCATTGCTCCTTTGGCTGCTCCTGCTCTTGTTCCTGCGTTGGCTGGACTTCTCCTCCTCCTTCTGCTCTCCTCCATATCTCCTCCTCCTCAACTTCTCCTCCTCCTCCTCCCCTTCCTCCTCCTCCTCCTCTTCATCATCATGAACAACAGAAACATCGTCATGTCGACGACAATAACATCTTTCTCCTCCTCCTCCTCCTCTCACCTGCTTCGCTTCTGATCTCTTGCCCTGGAGTTACAACTTCCATCCTGCCATCGCACGTGCTCCCACCCCCCACCCTCCCACCCCTTTGTACCCCCTGTACCCCTACCCGGTATAATCTAACATGAATTATGAGTACCCCCTTTCAAATACTGTACCCTTGTTATACTCCAATAATGAACAACTTTGTTCTATGTCAAAGAAATAACCGGTGGTATCATAGACCCCACCATTTGAAATACTACCCCATGTTGATAATCAGGTACCCCTTTCTCAGGAACAGGAGACCATGGCGCCGAAAGCTCAACAGGTGGGGCAGGAGGAGCAGGAGGAGCAGGAGGAGCAGGAGGAGCAGGAGCAGGAGCAGGAGCAGGAGCAGGAGCAGGAGAGAGGGACTAGCAGCTCATGTGTTGAGTGAACTAACTCCCAAGTCAGGTCGAGGTGCAGCGAGAGGCTCTGAACATCGCTGCATCATGGATGCAAAGCATGAAGTCCGCAGTGAAGGATGCTGTAGCCTTCGAAGAAGGTTCACTCCTGGCTGCATGACCCCTTCCTCTCTGACGATGCTGATGTCCAGAAGAAGCAACTAATGCTGACCTGCTTGTCTCTCGCCCTGCAAGGCTGGGCTGGGCTCAAAGTTTGTTCCTCACTCCAAGGTGCACGCATGCAGTTTGTTGGCAGGCATGCGGGACTGATAGGATGAAACAGGCACTCAAGACAGAGGGCGATGAGAACAATCGTCTGGTTGGAAAGTTGAAGAAGATGGTAAAGAAGAAAGATGAGCATATTGAGCGATCAGTTCAGAAACGGAAGGCTCAGGATGAGGACAATGATGAAGAGAGCAGAACGAAATCGATTCAGCCAAAGAAGAGTAAGCCCCCACAGGAACCAGTCGTGTTGACGACTGTTGATCAAGAAAACAACAATCAGAACAAGAAGAAGAGAAGGAAAAAACAACAGAAGAAGGCCGGAGAGCAGGTAGATGCAAACAAGAGCCAAGAGCAGCAAGAGGAAGAGGAAGAGCAGGAAAGCAGGAGGAGAGAAGGAGAGAAGAAGATCAAACCCGCTCAAGAAGTTTCAAAGAAGAAGTCTGCTGCAGGAGATGAAGACAAGAAGGAGAAAATCCCTCCCCATCCCAAGCATCGCAAAGATCAGCAAGAGCAAGGGAGTTCGAACCAGAAGCAGCCGGCAGACGAGCAGGAAGAACGAGAGGAGGACGACTTCGGTCGCCGTCCTGGTAGGCGACCCCTGTGCCTCCACCTCTTCTTGATCTCTGCTGCAGACGGCCACAGGCCGAGGAGGAGGAGGATCAAAGGCAAGAAAACTCGATCGAGGCAGGTGAGGGCATCGTGAGTTGAAGGAAGACTGTCTGCCTCCTTCTCACTTGTCCCTTTACTCGTCTCCAACTCACTCCTCGTTTCAGAAAAACATCCGCAAAGACAGCCGTCCGGAAAATCTCCGGCCAGGAGGCAAAGACTACGTCGCTAGGACAACCCCAGCTGACGAGCCGGCAGCATGAAAGGGGATTCGAACTTGACAAGACTTTACGCACAGAGCTAGCAATCTTGGAAATCAACTCGGATAACATGCGTCCTCTCGGCATTACCTCGTTCACATACAAACATCAACATGGCGTTGACTGGCAAGCGCCAGCCGGCCTCACGTTCACAATGCAGCTGTTGGGGTTGTACCCGTGATTCTTGCGGCCAGGGAGGGCTGTGAGCGCCGCAGATCTGAGCAGAGACGACATCTCGCCCTCGCTCACCATGTACCGGTCGGCAGGCAGCTTGGAAGTGACCTCGCAAGAGCGCGGGGGCAGCAGTCGACCCTCATACTGCCCTCCTATCACTGGGTTCTTCATCGCATGGTGCATGAAGGTCGTATTGGACCATCTGTATCGGATCACCCACCCATCGTACGCCCATCCCTCGCCATGCCGGAAGAATCCGACTCTCTCCCAGTCCCCCCCTCGACAGCCCGAGTTGTTGGCCGCTGCATGGAAGCATGCAACGAACTTCGGGTAGTCGCTTCCCTTTCCCTCCCTCCTGCACCTCTCAGGTACTGGCCGGACGAGACGATGCAGGAGCAGCCAGTGGAGAGCTCCATTGTCTGCGTTCATGCCCGAGTACTCGTGCTTGTTCCCCGGGTGGAGCATGTACCAGTCCAGAAGGAACCTCCTGCTCCATGCTGTGTTCCGCACGATGTAGTTTCCCGCCATGACCTCGTTGTTATGGAATCGATGATAGAACCAGATGTCTTTGTTGCCCACCAACCAAGCTTGGATCTTCTTGTCGAAGTTCACGATCGCGGTATCAGCATCCAGCACTGCCACGTGGTGATCGGCGGGGATATTGAGCAGGTAGTAGAAGACATGGCAGACTTTCCTGAAGAAGAAACCGACGGCTTCCTTGCACTGAGGGAATGAGTCAGGCCTGAAGAGGACGAAGTTGAAGCTGTTGAGCTTGGAGTAGCAGGACAAGCTCTCGATGTTTCTTGCATAGCTGCTCCTTGAATTCGAATCAGCAAAGACAAAGAGCGTCATGGCGAGGGGAACTGCTGCTGGCACGGAGCTGTTTGTCCCCGCCGATAACGCACTCGTCGTTGAGAGGGACTGCTGTGACGTGTTCACAAAGACAGACAAGTTGACATTGTTTGCTCGCATGCTGTACGGCACCATGAATACCCCCCCTCTCCTCGAATACCCTACCATCTCCGGTTCTTTCTTAGAGCCCAACAGCCATAGTTGTGACATTGACATCGGCACATACACGAGTGCCACACTGACAAGGGCTAGGAACGCTCGCTTTAACCCTCTCATCTCACAGCTTGGCGGCGACCGACTGACCTGCTGGACTCCTCCCAAACTTTGAAACCTGCGGCGTACCGTTCTCCGGACTTGATCGGACAGCGATGAGATCTGTCGGAGAAACCAGCCAAACCAACACGAGAGGCTCAGTTTTCATCCTCGCTTAGACACTGTGAACGTCCTCCTCCATCTCCTCCCGGATCTCCCGGAGTCCTCCTCCTCCTCCTGACCGTGGCAGTATCAGCTCCGATCGGACGGTCGTCCTTGACCTGATCGGATCGGCTCTTCACGTCATCACAGGCTCAGGCTCGCCTCAGTTCTGGGACGGTCCGGGAGTCGTCGGAACTTTCCCGGCTCAGCCGGGCTAGGGCCGGCCCCCCCCGGGACTCCGGGGCCCGTACTGATCTTTAACTTAACTTTGAGTAAAGAAGTCCCGGCGATCGGATCTTCTCAGGGCCGAGTCCTGCCAGTGCGCCATGCGCCCCGAGTCTACCGTACAGCCGCGCCGTGAAGTTTGTACACTGACAGGCCTCGTACTGATTTTTAACTTAACTTTGAGTAAACACGACAGGAAAGGCGAGTCGAAGTCAACTTGAAGTCATCACCGGCCGGGCAACAGGGAAGCGGACCTCAGTCCGGCCACTCAGTGACTTTACTCTTCGACTAGCGCGGCCTACTCAGCCGCCCCAGCCCGGGGCGGCCCGGGGGCCCGCCGGCCATGGCATGATCCGAAAGTTCATTTGAGTGAAATTTTTGAAGTTGCGCCCCCTCCATCAAAGATGGCTGAAGTTATCGACTTCACGAAGAGAAGGTAAGAGCAAGGAGAGGAGCAGCAGAAGAGACGACGACGACGACGACGACGATGGCGACATAGAGGAGAAGATGCTGGTCCATGGAGCAAGAGCAAGAGCAGGAGCAGGAGGACAAGGAGAGGGGGGAGGAGGTTGAGGTACTTGTTGGTAAGGTGGCAGTATTCCAAGACAAGGTCGTGCGGAGGGCGAAGAGAGGGCACAGAGGAAACGATCTGTATACAATCATAGCAAGAGCAACACATAGTGATGAGGAGGCTAGCACAGTCTGGGAGGCAGGGAACGCATGATCTCACAGGACAGTTTGTCCCACCTGAGAGTTGCACACTTTCTGGTACCCCTGCTGAACATTTTGCAGAACCGTTGTCCCGGATTTCATGAGACCAGGTCTTAAGTCCATGTACATCTGGTTTACAAGCAAGTGATCCGTTCTGCAGCCCTCGACGTCCTCCTTTGGAGGGATAAGTGGGCAAGTGGTAAGGTGTTCGTGGGCGGGCTGGCAGTATACGGCGCGATATTTGTCTACGGATACTCTCTGCTGTCTCTCTTTTCCATCTTTCTGTGCTTGCATGTTGTTATCAGTGTGCTCATCAACCTCCTGCTGCGCTGGAGGGGAAGAGCTTCCGACGCTCGGTGATCAGCCCGTGTGGTTTCCCTTACAACTCCACCTAATCCTTCTCCGCAAGGTCCCCGCCTCCTCAGATCAGCCCAGAGTTTGTGAGCAGCCTGTGCGAGCATGTCAACTGCAAGATAGCACAGTACTTCGACATGCTGCAGCTCCTCGACATCGTGTCGGCTGCCTCGGTCTCAAGGTCTCAACTCGTGAATGACCCTGACAAGTCGAGGCAGGTCTGCATCGTTCTATACATCTTGTACCGGCTGGGGTTGATCTTCTCCGACGCCACCCTGATGCTCATCGGTGTAGTCGGACGTGATGCATGCTCCTGCGCTCACGATGCCCTCTCAGGATACTTGCTCGCCTTCTCCCTGCCGTCTGTGTACGTCAAATACGAGCGGCAGGTTGAGGACGCGGTGTCCAAGGTCAGGAGCCGAATGCAGCAGGTCGCCTTTCGCAGCTGCGAGTGACGTCAGTGACTGTGTGTCAAGGTGTCTGATGCGATCTACAACTCCATCCCAAGGGCAGACACGCTCAAGAAAGATGAACGAAACAAGGAAGAACGAAAGAAAGAAGAACGAAAAATTGAGAAGGAGGCAGACAAGGAAGCGACCAAGAGCGAGAAGCAAGAGTGAAGTGAAGCAGCCTATGTTGAAGGTCACAAGGCAGGGAGAGTCATGTTTAAGTTTGTTGATGTACGAACATCGCACTAAGACCGCGAGGAAGGGCTTTTTCGAATGTTTAGAGGTTGTATTCGCCGATGAGGCAGTACTCTTCTTTAAAAGTTACAAGCGTGGAAGAGCAGGACGCGGTGATAATTACAGGAAGGTCGTTGGCATTCAGCACACATCACGGCTTATTCACTTGAGGTATCGGCGGATCTCGCTGATCAGGTGCTGCGACTCAGAAACGTAGTTGACTGGCTCCAAGCTCATCACAGAAAACTTCGTTCGTGTCTCTCCCTTGTACTCCTCCGCCTTTGCGCGCACCTTGATCATGTACTCCTTGAAGTATGCCGCCTTCCACACACCCTCGAACGCCACCTTGTCCGTGCACTCGATCTCATACAGCTCGTCCGCAGACTTTCCGAGAATGAGTTGCGCATGTTCGTCGAAGCAGGTGAGCCACTGCCGACCGGTGAGGTCCATGAAAGCAAAGGTCGTGATGTAACGCCGCTGGCATGTGTCGATCTGAGTGCCAGTGGACTCATCGATCCACACGTCACCACTCGCCACGACTTTCTTCTTGTTCTCCGGGTTCGCCGGATACTGCCATTGCTTCTCAGTGTTGCTGTACGTCACATAGGCCTTGATGGTGAAGATGTCAGCCTTGCTCGTGTTGGAGCCCAGTGACTCCTTTGACACAGCTTCAATCAGCTTCCTGGGAGCAGGTCCCCCGGGTCCCTTCCCAGCCTGGGTTCCTTCGCCAACAGGCTGGAATGATTTTCCTGAGTCACAGGAGGAGTACCACTCCCGCAGGTCCTTAGCCTCTGGGGTCTCTGGGTTGATCTGGAGCATGGATGAACGTAGAGTGCTCAAAGAGCAGCCGTTGTAATCGCTCACCCTCGCACCTCTGACTGCAAGAATAGAATGATTGGTAGCGTGTGAAGTGTCAAATTGTTCCGCATGGTTGTCCCACCTGCGCGAGAGCCGTCAAACAACGAGATGGCTCAAAGAACAGAATACTGACAGAGTAATGCTGACAGTCTTGCCAGACTTGTCCACCAGAGATACATTCCTCTTGCTCTTTTGCTTTCCACTGTCCCTTCCTTGTTTGATGGTAATTTCTCCAAGAGCCTACATTCCACTTAGTTTGTCTAAAATTCGTGGACAGGATGTTTACCTCTACTTCTTGCACGACTCCGATGACGTCCACATTCTGCAAATTTCCTTTTTCAACCAAAAGACAGTTGACTTCAATCATGTACCTTGTTAACCATCGCAGCGAGCTTGTCAATGCTCACAAAGTCAAATCGCACCTGCATACTTCGTTTAGAGGAATGAGTTGCAAGCACAGACTGATGCAAACCTGCGGCGCATCTTCCTCCAGACACCTTTCAATTGTCGTATTCGTCGAGACTGTCATCTCATACTGACATTTGGTGTTGTTGTACTTGCTCTGCGCAACCTTGAAGCTCCCCTTTGAAAAGACATACCATTGTCCAACCTTTGAGGAACAATTAGTTTGATCTGTATGCAAACTTCTGAGCAAATGATAAGCTTACCACCAAAGAATCATGATACTTTTCACACTGTTCATTCCAGAAGGTGACTTTCATATCGCTCGAGTCATCCAACACGACCGCACTGAAGACAGCCATGTCTGTGTTGTTCCTACCCTTGAAGCGCCGGACATCTTCCTTGGAGATAAGTTTGGCTTTCACGTTGCAGCTTCCATAGGGATGGATCATTGCGATCGGAACGCGGTTGACGGTAGGCTGACTCAAGGGCAACGAAGAAGCTTCAACCTTGGGAGGAGTAGAGGCAGGGGAAGACTGGGGAGGTCCTTTCGGAGCCGGGCTTCCAAGCTCCTTGCCATCCTTGCCAGCATCAGCAGTGGTATCCTCCGAGTTGGCCGAGTACTTGATGGGAGAGCCAATGACGCTATCCAAGTGCTTCTTCACAACCACATCCTGGATGAGGATCTTGTAGTTGCCCTTCTGGGACACTCGGAGAGTTTCTGTCTCGATGATGCTGTTGATGAAGTCTTCCTTGAGGATGACCTCCTGCAGATGCTCCTTCTGGTTGAGCAGCACAACTGTGAAGTACTTCCCATCGGAAACACCCAGCCTGATACCAAGGTGTTAGCAAATAATGCCGGACGAAGCTATTCACGAACTTGAGGTTGCCGTTCGACAGTCTTCCAACATTGATGGCCTGCAGGTTGGCCCTCACGATGTTCGACGTGGAGTAGAGCTTCTCGACGCCTCCTTCGGTCAGATCTTCAGACATGCTTCCTGTCCATGTTCAAAGTCAGCGGGAATGTTCATGATCTTATGGTAAGGAGAAATCTTTCAGAGATCATATTCCTACTTTGTGAAGGAACATCCTCTCTCTGTGAAGCGGGCTCTGCTAGACTCATCCCTTCCAAGACATCCTTCCGAAAACAACTTCAAGCAATGTCTTGCTCAGAACTCATCCTGTGACTTGCACTGATGGCATCTACTCCTTCCCCCCTCTTCTCTTCTCCTACCCAACATGCCATCGCTAGCCTCTGGGTTGTCCTGACCCTGCCGCTTCCTCCCTCCCCTCCCCTTACACTCCTCCGCCCGTCGTAGCATTTACGCGGGAAAGTGGAGTGGCTATGAGTATGTAAAAAATATTTGAAAATTACGGTGTAGATTTCAAAACCTCTCTGCATATTTGGGATTCTGAAGCAACACCCTCACGAGCAAAAAGTTTCAGGCATGCGTTCTCATTGCCGCGGATGGGGATCGAACCCATGACCTTTGGATTATGAGACCAACGCGACTACCAACTGCGCCACCACGGCTGCCTGCCAGCGGTGTACTTCAAAGCAATATATACTCGGATTCTTCTGGGAGGTGGGGTGGCCCCTTTGGCGGCTATCCTTTGACCCGTACGGTACTTTGAATGGAAAATGTTGGGTGGGTGAGGTACTGTCCTGATTGACTCAGTGATATACAGGGGGTGGGTGGGTGGGAGAAACTTTCATATGTCACAAAGCCTCGGAAGAGAACTAACAGTGCAACTTTTCGAGTCAAGAGATCGGACTCGAACCGTGAACCGTTCACGGCCCGGTTAAACAATACTGATTTAAGCCTGATCGGACTCATGATGATGCCAGGCGGGCCCGGCCCTTGGAGTCCCACTGCCAGTCGGACGGTACCGTACCGAGGTCCCGGAGCCTCCGAGTCCGCCCGGCCGCGACCGGACACTCCGAGGCTGGCAGTGACATGACAGCCTGACTCGGTGAACAAACTCACTGAGTAGTAACCGTGGTAGATAACACATTGAAGTCTCTGTCACTTTCAGGCAGGCCGCCGTCACTACTCCGATCATAGGATAGGTAGAAGGCCACACCGGGTCTCCTCGGTGCCCCCCCATGCTCTCGGAGAGTCTACCGCACCTACTGGCACTCCCCGCCGAAGCTTGGCAGGCTTCTCAGCGGTTGGTTTGCTAGACGTCTGTCGGGAGCACATGTCTTGCTCTAGATCAACGACCTCGCCACACCTTCCGGGCTGAGTACAGCTTCCGGGCTGAGTACAGGGTGCTTCATTCATACTAGACCTTGAGCTTCCCGCGATCTTGTTCGTGATTGGGCGGTCCCACGAATCGGCAGCGGGTCAGTCTCACTCATGTCGATACTACCGGACTCGGCACGCAGAGTCGTAGGCCGCGCTATTCGTACATGACTTTATTGACACCTATACATCTCCTCGTCCTACTTCAAGCAATATACAATGCCCATTGATCCCCTGCCCGCAAGCTCGCATGGAAGCGGTGCCGATCCCCGCGGGCATGCTTCTGCCACCCGCCGCTTGCTGCTGCCTCCTCCCGCTTGCGTGTGGCCTCCAGCTCGCACCTTGTCTCCTCCCCTCCCTCCTCTCCCTCCGTCGTACTCGCCTCGATGTGTCCGTCCGATGAGGCCGAATGCGACGAGAGCGCCCGCATGAAGCCCAGGCCCTCGTAAGCGTCTATCCACCTGCTGTGACTGGCCTCGTCGTAGCCGAGGGAGAAGTCGAGGAAGATGCTATGGCGGTCCGAGACAGGGCAGGCTGTGAGGGAGGGAGAGCCGAAGAAATCGAAGAAGGACAACTCGGGGGTAGGAGGGGGGCAATGAGCGGGTTGAGAAGGAGTGGGATGCGCTTCAGAGTGATGCATGGGAGGGAGGGAGGGAGGAAGACTAGGCTTGCAAGAGCGGGGCTCCGTAGATGTCATGCGATGCGTGGCGGTGTTGCGCAGTGAGCTCGTGGGGGAACCTGGCGAGGGGGAAAGCGAAGATAGCAGATATGGCCAGGAGGGAAAACAGGCACAGCCAAAAAGGATTTTTAATCCTTAAGCCCGGCTTGCAGGACCCTCGGGGGGCAAGGCAGGGCGTTCTAGCATAATACCAGACTAGACGAAACGCCAAGCTGAAGGGGGTCCCCGTCGAGCCTTGCGATACGAGCTAAACCCAGTGGGCTTAGAATCCGGTTCGACCCGGCGGGCGGCAACCGTTGAACGGCGGGTGAAGCTCGAGATGGCCCACGGGACCCACTCCGAGCCTCGGAGACATGAGCCGGCCGGTCCAATGTTGCTCAACCGTCGGCGAGGGGAGGTCACTGGCTGATCATACGCGACGTGCCGTTTAACTCCGGCCGCCGGCGGCTCGGCGAGTACGGTCACCTTCGTAATCATCACCGGGACGGCCTGATTTTTCACTTAACTTTGAGTAAAGAGACCACTGACGGTGAGTCATCTTCGGACCGGCGATAGGGCCTTCCGAGTTCTTGAATGACGGCGATCGGATGGGATGAATTGTAAACAAAGGTGACGGTATTATATTAGTATAATATTGCCGCGGCTGGCCCCGGGCGGCGAGGCTTTTTCAAGTGCAACTCATCAATCCACCGGGGCCGTCGGAAACGATTCCAGAGGAGACCCAGCCTCATTCCAATTCTGAGTAGGCTTAGTAGCCTGAGGGGCCGCCGCGCGCGGCGCGGCCGCGCCGGGCGGCCCGGTGCCCAACCGTTGCTAAGTTAACTCAGCCTCACTCTCCGAGTCGGCCGGAACTCCGAGCTCACGGTCACGCGCCGGTGACGGTGCCCGCAGTCACTCGGAGTCAGTTGGATGTCCGATCATTCAATGGCCGCTCTCACTCAGCCGCTGCCCACCGTCCGATCTGATCCTCCCCAAGATCAGGGGACAAAGCAGACCGTACCAAAGTAACACTGAAAGCTGTGTCAGGCATCTGCACGGCAGTTAGCCGTCAATCGGATACCAGATCATGACAGCCTGACTCGGTGAACAAACTCACTGAGTAGTAACCGTGGTAGATAACACATTGAAGTCTCTGTCACTTTCAGGCAGGCCGCCGTCACTACTCCGATCATAGGATAGGTAGAAGGCCACACCGGGTCTCCTCGGTGCCCCCCCATGCTCTCGGAGAGTCTACCGCACCTACTGGCACTCCCCGCCGAAGCTTGGCAGGCTTCTCAGCATCGGCGGGAGTGCCATGCGGTTGGTTTGCTAGACGTCTGTCGGGAGCACATGTCTTGCTCTAGATCAACGACCTCGCCACACCTTCCGGGCTGAGTACAGGGTGCTTCATTCATACTAGACCTTGAGCTTCCCGCGATCTTGTTCGTGATTGGGCGGTCCCACGAATCGGCAGCGGGTCAGTCTCACTCATGTCGATACTACCGGACTCGGCACGCAGAGTCGTAGGCCGCGCTATTCGTACATGACTTTATTGACACCTATACATCTCCTCGTCCTACTTCAAGCAATATACAATGCCCATTGATCCCCTGCCCGCAAGCTCGCATGGAAGCGGTGCCGATCCCCGCGGGCATGCTTCTGCCACCCGCCGCTTGCTGCTGCCTCCTCCCGCTTGCGTGTGGCCTCCAGCTCGCACCTTGTCTCCTCCCCTCCCTCCTCTCCCTCCGTCGTACTCGCCTCGATGTGTCCGTCCGATGAGGCCGAATGCGACGAGAGCGCCCGCATGAAGCCCAGGCCCTCGTAAGCGTCTATCCACCTGCTGTGACTGGCCTCGTCGTAGCCGAGGGAGAAGTCGAGGAAGATGCTATGGCGGTCCGAGACAGGGCAGGCTGTGAGGGAGGGAGAGCCGAAGAAATCGAAGAAGGACAACTCGGGGGTAGGAGGGGGGCAATGAGCGGGTTGAGAAGGAGTGGGATGCGCTTCAGAGTGATGCATGGGAGGGAGGGAGGGAGGAAGACTAGGCTTGCAAGAGCGGGGCTCCGTAGATGTCATGCGATGCGTGGCGGTGTTGCGCAGTGAGCTCGTGGGGGAACCTGGCGAGGGGGAAAGCGAAGATAGCAGATATGGCCAGGAGGGAAAACAGGCACAGCCAAAAAGGATTTTTAATCCTTAAGCCCGGCTTGCAGGACCCTCGGGGGGCAAGGCAGGGCGTTCTAGCATAATACCAGACTAGACGAAACGCCAAGCTGAAGGGGGTCCCCGTCGAGCCTTGCGATACGAGCTAAACCCAGTGGGCTTAGAATCCGGTTCGACCCGGCGGGCGGCAACCGTTGAACGGCGGGTGAAGCTCGAGATGGCCCACGGGACCCACTCCGAGCCTCGGAGACATGAGCCGGCCGGTCCAATGTTGCTCAACCGTTGCGAGGGGAGGTCACTGGCTGATCATGGCATACGCGACGTGCCGTTTAACTCCGGCCGCCGGCGAGTACGGTCACCTTCGTAATCATCACCGGGACGGCCTGATTTTTCACTTAACTTTGAGTAAAGAGACCACTGACGGTGAGTCATCTTCGGACCGGCGATGCCAGTATAGTCAGAGTGAGGCTACAATTCATCCCATCACCGCCATTCTCGCCCAAGAAGGCTCTATTCGGATCGATGACTCACGGTGATGTTTACTACCGTACGGCGAGGACCCGGATGACGGACTCAGTGACTCGCCCGGCCGTTGGAGTTAAACGGCACGTCGCGTATGATCAGCCAGTGACCTCCCCTCGCAACGGTTGAGCAACATTGGACCGGCCGGCTCATGTCTCCGAGGCTCGGAGTGGGTCCCGTGGGCCATCTCGAGCTTCACCCGCCGTTCTAAGCCCACAGGGTTTAGCTCGTATCGCAAGGCTCGACGGGGACCCCCTTCAGCTTGGCGTTTCGTCTAGTCTGGTATTATGCTAGAACGCCCTGCCTTGCCCCCCGAGGGTCCTGCAAGCCGGGCTTAAGGATTAAAAATCCTTTTTGGCTGTGCCCTGGCCATATCTGCTATCTTCGCTTTCCCCCTCGCCAGTTTCCCCCACGAGCTCACTGCGCAACACCGCCACGCATCGCATGACATCTACGGAGCCCCGCTCTTGCAAGCCTAGTCTTCCTCCCTCCCTCCCTCCCATGCATCACTCTGAAGCGCATCCCACTCCTTCTCAACCCGCTCATTGCCCCCCTCCTACCCCCGAGTTGTCCTTCTTCGATTTCTTCGGCTCTCCCTCCCTCACAGCCTGCCCTGTCTCGGACCGCCATAGCATCTTCCTCGACTTCTCCCTCGGCTACGACGAGGCCAGTCACAGCAGGTGGATAGACGCTTACGAGGGCCTGGGCTTCATGCGGGCGCTCTCGTCGCATTCGGCCTCATCGGACGGACACATCGAGGCGAGTACGACGGAGGGAGAGGAGGGAGGGGAGGAGACAAGGTGCGAGCTGGAGGCCACACGCAAGCGGGAGGAGGCAGCAGCAAGCGGCGGGTGGCAGAAGCATGCCCGCGGGGATCGGCACCGCTTCCATGCGAGCTTGCGGGCAGGGGATCAATGGGCATTGTATATTGCTTGAAGTAGGACGAGGAGATGTATAGGTGTCAATAAAGTCATGTACGAATAGCGCGGCCTACGACTCTGCGTGCCGAGTCCGGTAGTATCGACATGAGTGAGACTGACCCGCTGCCGATTCGTGGGACCGCCCAATCACGAACAAGATCGCGGGAAGCTCAAGGTCTAGTATGAATGAAGCACCCTGACACAGCGAAGCACCCTGTACTCAGCCCGGAAGGTGTGGCGAGGTCGTTGATCTAGAGCAAGACATGTGCTCCCGACAGACGTCTAGCAAACCAACCGCATGGCACTCCCGCCGATCGGATGCTGAGAAGCCTGCCAAGCTTCGGCGGGAGTGCCAGTAGGTGCGGTAGACTCTCCGAGAGCATGGGGGGGCACCGAGGAGACCAGGTGTGGCCTTCTACCTATCCTATGATCGGAGTAGTGACGGCGGTCTGAAAGGCGATGACTATGACTTGTCCTCGAAGCGACTCCGAGCCTGAGGTTTTTTTCGGAGTGCAGGCCGGGTCTTACCACTGAACTAGGTTAATGGGTTGCAAGAGTCGTATCAGTGATACTGGTGCTTGAGAAGGAGGTCGGAAGGAAGGAAGCTGGGAGTTTCGGTACTTGGTTTTGTGAGTTCTACCGTTGCTGACTGATTGATTGACTTTGCGGCAACCTGGCGGGTTCTACAGTGATCGGGTAGAGGGTCGAAGAGCTCAAGTCCAGGTGTGGTGACCGCATGCGAGGGCGGTAGTGAGGATGCCCAGCACGAGGAAGGGCTGAGCAGCCGCCTGTAAGGGTGATGCATGAGTGAGGAGGACAATTCGACGAGCTCTCTACCTGATACTTGACATCGTTGGCGATCGGGTCCTTAAGGAAGGTGGTGAACTGCAAGTAGATCTGCCCGGAATTCAGCCCCGCATGCTCCTCCTCCTACGTTTCACCTGGGGGAGGATGAGGCCGAGCAGGACCAGCGCGTAGTTAGTCTCCCCTGTCCTCATCTTAGCGACACAAAGAGCCGATCGGCATCCCCACCGATGGACGCGAGGTAACCGGCGACGCCGAGCTGAGTGAAGTCGATGGACCCAACGCAGATCCACTTGGCAGTGTCAACTCCGAACTGACAAGTAGCGAGTTAGCGGGCCTCTCCCTCCTCCACACGGCGGACCTGTACTGGGAGAGACTGAAGCCCCAACTCGCGGTCACCCTGAGAGAGCGACCGATGTCAAGCTGCTGGCATGGGGAAAGTCATGAGCAGCAGACCTCGATTGACTTGAAGTCGTTCACGATGGCGATGCCGAGACCAGCCCAAGAGTAGAGGATGGTCAAGATAGCAACCTGTAAGAGGAGGGAGTTAGTCACGGATGCTGAGCCAGAGGAGAGTTTACTGACAGTCGGGTTGAAGGAAGCCTGGTTGAAAAACACCTGCCCGCACCACCATGGCAGCGCGATGTAAGAAGAGCCGAGAGCGTAGTTGCCGATCCTAGAAGCGTATGCTCTCAGGGCACGAGCACGCAATTTGCACTCTGATCTACCATCCGCTCTGCTTGAGCTTGAGAGGAGGAGCAGAGTAGATGTAAGAGATGAAAGATCCACCGATGGCAAGAGCCAGGACAGAGGGCCATTCATGCCTGACCAGCTCTCTCACTCTAACTCTCAGAAGAGGGGAACACACTTACCCTGCCCACACGTCCAGGCCGTAAGCCAGGCCCAGCCCTCCAAGGAGGAGAGCCCAGATCTGAGCAATGACTTCGTTCTCGCTGATGGCTCCGGAAGGGATAGGCCTATTTGGCTCGTTTATGGCATCGATCTCACGATCATACCAATCATTAATCGTCTATGGGGGAGGAAAGCGTCAGTCGGCAGGCCCTGCAGACGAGCTGAGATGAGATCATTCTCACTTGCGTATAGCCGGTAAGGAGGGGGCCTGCCAAGACCATGCAGACCAGGGCCTGATGAGTAAAACAAGTGAGGAGGGCGGGAATAGAAGACGCAAGGAGACGGCGGCGGGAAGTAGGAGACGCAAGGAGACGGAGGGAAGTAGAAGAGCCGAGGAGAAGGAAGGAACAACAGGATGAGATGTTACCTTGACAAAGTCGGTGCTCCATTCACTGAAAGAAGCTCCATCCCAGATCGCTGCATTGCATGTTACCCCCACTTAAAATGGAACTGCACGGCTCACAATGGTATTTGCCCGAGGCTGCTGCTCCACAAGCGACACCCCAGATGAGAGGGACCCAAGTGACAGGCTTCATCAGCTGAACTCTGATCTTCCACTTGTCTGCGGTCGTGGATCCTCCCTGAGGAACTCTTAGAGCCTTGGACCGCAAAGGTGACAACGCCGCACCCTCACTCCAAGGAGCTGCCTGATACCCGAGTCATTCTCACCACCCTTTTCTGGGTTCTCCTGCATCCTGAGCTTGGACGCACTGATACGAGACGGGCCTGCTATCATGTCCATCTCGTCAAATACGAGAAACTTCAGGCATGGCTGAGGAAATTTCTAATACTCACAGCTTCAACAAACTTGTCCCTTCACTCTGTTTTAACATCCATGGACTCTAAACACCTCACTTCTTCATTGAAACACATCTAAAAGGAGAAATCTCCGCACAACGAGCCCTTCCATCTCCTCTTTCCCTCCTCGACCGAACGCCCATCTCCGAGCGACTCACCTTTGGACAAAGCAAGTTGCGCGGACAGTCCCATCCTCCCGGGAGCTCGGAGGACAGGAGAGGAGAATCCTTCAACACTGGGGAGCATCAACATGGCCGTCATCGCCATCATCGACATCTTCGTTGGCGCCATCGTCGGCGCCGCCATCCATGTCGTCGCTTGTCCCGCCATGCCCAGTTACCTTGTAACAAATCCGGCCTCCGGGCACTCTGTCAGGTTCACCTCAGAGTCCTGTGAAATGTCATTAATTATATTTATCTTGTCTTTGCAGGATTTTACGAGTCGTTGAGCCGCTGAGAGTTTCCCGGGCCCGCGTCAGTCCCTTGGGCGTCGAGCTGGTCAAAAACCGATTTCAACGGACCATGGCGAACTCTCCGATCGCTATGCACCGATGCCGCGCTGCTGCGGCCGAGCCACTGGATGGCGAGGAAGAGTAGGAAGACTTCCGAGTTCGGAGATGTAGATTGAGTAGGAAGATCATAGCAGAGAAGGGTGTCGCCGGGTAGAGGAGGATAGGATGGATGAGATGATAGGGCCTGGCAGGGACTGGATGTACGGTACCGGCGGTAAGTGTCGTAATCATGTTCTGCTAGTTTATCAAACCCTGCCTGAGATACTAGAATCTGCACTGAAGAGTCTCCTGCAACTTCATGAGCACACAGACATCCACTATGAGTTTTGACCGTGTCACGGTGGATGGGATACATGATAATTCTATAGTACACTGACTCATGGAGCAGCCGCGGGGCCTAGTTTGTGACTGTTTGACAGGTTAGGATATCAGGTTGTTTCTCTCACATCCCTTGCACATGGAAGTGGCGACAAGACTGAACTCTTGAGAGACTCAGAAGCCTCGGGCTTGTGATCCTGCGACATGCTCGAACAATGGTCTACCGGCCTGCTTGACGTCACCTCTGACTATGAGATCCTCTCTGTCGCCAGCCTGTTCTGCGGGGGGGGAGTCTTCTTCCTTGCCCCTAACACCGCCATCTCCATCTTCAACGGGAAGGCGTCGCTACTTTCAGGCATTACGCAGCCCCTTCACAGGTCCGCCAAGGGTTTGTGCAGTGAAAAGGACTCGGTGCTCTGCATCAACACTTGTCTCCTGCTCTCCTTCCCTCCCATCCTTCTCTACTGGAGGTACTCTTCCCCCCCTCTACCTTTCCCCCTCTACCTTCCCCCGTCCTCCCTTCCCTTTCGTTTCCCCTCCTCCTCCTCTTCCTTTCCCCTTGACCTCGGGGCAGGACAGCTGCTAGCCCACGTTCCGGGTGTGTCCTGGCTGGCTGGTCTTCCAATCTTGCACGAGGATCGAATGGAGCATCCTGCTCGACCAGAGCTTGTTGGGGTAGGCGGACGCCGAGACCTGCCGTAGTGTCAGACCCCAACTGAAGTCGATCTCGAGGTAGATCTGCTGACCTTGTAGTAGACGAGGGCGGAAGACTTGGAGCAGGAATGGCAGTTGCGGCGGATAATTGAGTTTCCTGCCTGCGGGCACTTTGAGAGGAGAAGAGGAGAGGAGCAGGTTAAGGCAGGGGGCGATGGCTAGGAAGATGCGGAGAGCGAGGAGGAGGATGCGGATAGCGAGGAGGACGATGCCAGGAAGGGAAGGGAGAGGGAGAGGGAGAGGGACAGGAAAAGAGAAATCAAAGAGGAAAGAACTGAACGGAAGGCAGAGGGTAGTATTTTAGTAGAGGATGGAAAATTTTCCCGGAGAAGGATCATCTGATTTCCACCAGTC